ACAATAATAGTAATAATAATGATAAATATAATAATAATAAAATAATAATAATAATAATAATAATAATAATAAATGGCTTGCATTTGTTGTGGAAGTGTACTGCCTGGCCATTTGAAATTACATACCTGACTTGCTGGCCTAGGTACGGCCTGGAGGTCACTCTCTCCCCTCCCTGCCCTTGCCAGGCTACCATCCAGGCGGTGCTGGGGTGTGGGGGAGACCTGGGAGGGCTGTAGACTTAGGATGGCCCTGCCCCACTTCCTGCCACTCGGCACAGGCCCAGTGAAGTCTTTGGGAGCACAGGCGGAAAGCCAAGCCAAGCCAAGCCCTGACCAGCATCCCTGGGGCAGCCTGCAGGCCCAAAAGTCCGATAACACAAGCTCCATCCTGTGCCCACGCTAGCGGCACCAGACTAACCGGCAGCTTATAAAGTAACCTGTGTTTTCCGTCAGCACCTGCTCCTCTCGCTCGCTGGCTTCCTCCACCGCCACCTTCCCTTGTTTTTGTCCATCTCTCTCGTCTTCCTTCCTGAACGTGGGGACTTCACTTGGGAAGCAAAGAAGTTGTCCACAGCAGAGACCATCCCCCTCGTGCATGCCCACCGGGCTTCCGTAAATTTGTTGTTGGCTTATGTTTTTCAAAAAGCAATAATAGCATTGTTGTAAAATAGGGAACTATAGCCCTGGAATCAAAAGAAGACTAGGGATATGGGGTTGTTCTTCCCTCCTGTTAGAGCAGAGGACTTTTGGGAAGAATAGTTCAGTTGCAGTGGGCCAAATGCTTCCTTCATGATTGGCTTAGCACCAGGAGACCCTTATGTGCCTGGGTTCTGTAGCAATCTTCTGCAAGTAAAAAATACTATTAGAAAAGTAAACACTAATTTTGAATGTGCAACTCACCTGCTTTTTGCTGCAGTCTATTTCTGGTAACTGCATCAAGCAGTTTTATTTATTTATTTTGAGAGAGAGAGAGAGAGAGAGCACCCATGCACAAGCTGGCGGGGGCGGGGGTGGTTGGGGGGTGCGGGCCAAGAGAGAGAAGAGAGCAAGAATCCCAGAAGGCTCCGTGCTGTCACTGCAGAACCAGACACGGGGCTCGAACCCATGAACCGTGAGCTCAGGATGGGAGCCTAAACGAAGAGTCGAACACTTAACCCACTGAGCCACCCAGGCACCCCTCAAGCAAGTCTTTCGAAAGGGGATTGTGTATTCCAGTGTAATATTTGGAGATGTGGCTTATACCCTAGGCTTAATTTCAAAACAAAGCTAGAACTGACATGATTTCATAATATTAGACATAGAACAGCTTTTCACCTGTTACAATGGCTTTAACTAAAAGATAGTGTGCCTGGGACTCACAATGAGCTCTAAAGTATACATATTCCACCCAGAATTAAGTCTGCCACATTTTATTCCCCTTTTATTGGCAGACTTAGAACTTAGGAGGGCTTTCCCAGTGCCCTGGGCAATGCCTGGAACCCACATGAGGCGCAGCTATGCTTCCTCCGTGGGAGTGGGAATGGAGATAGGGCAGCTGGTGCAAGAACTGGGGGTGGCAGCATCTTTGTCCTCGGGGTACCCCGTCCTGCAATGTAGTGCACCAGAAGGAAGGGAGTGCTAAGCATTTCAACAGTGTTGTTTCTCCCACTGCAGTGCGTTTTCAAAGAATCGAGCTGTTATTTTCCCTACCAGCCCTTATAGTCTGTTCAGAGCTACAGATATACCTCTTCTATTTTAAGATAAAACACCGTCAAGAAAGAATAAATACCCCTCTCAGCCTTTAAGGCCTATTTGACACTGAGTTTAAAATATTTATTAATGCTGTTTATACCCTCTCCGTACCAGAATGGATTCAAGGAAGCTTAATCTATAAACATGTAATCACAGCACTTCCTTAGAAAAACATTTTTAAAGTGCTAGATGATTCCTAGACAGTTTAGCAAAGGTGTTTGGTTCAGAAATTGCTATTTGAATAAAACGTCAGGGAAAACTAAACATACACTTAACACGCGACCCTAGAAGTTATACTACTGGACATTCATCCCGGAGAAATGAAAACATACGTCCACAGAACAACAGGTACACAGTTGTTCATAGCAGTTTCATTTGTAATAGCCAAAGACTGAAAACAGCTTAGATGTTCCACAGTAGGTAAATGGTTAAGCACACTGTGTTACATGCATACCATGGAGGAATAATTCAGCAATATAAGGGAGCAGAGTGTTGAAATACACAACAACTTGGATAGATCTCAAGGACGTTATGCTGTGTGTCAGAAGGTCTCATACTATGCCAGAGACTCATATGCCAGTCTCAAAAGGTCACATACTATGTAACCCCATTTATATAACAGTCTCAAAAATGACAAAATTCCCGTGATGGAGAACAGATCGGTGGTCACCAGGAAGGAGTTAGGGAAATGAGGACAGGGTGGCTGTATGGGAGAGCTTCGTGAAGAACGTCTGTAACTTGACTGCATGAAGATCACACAAGAGATAAGATGACACACACAGAATTATAGGTACATTGTAGCAGTGTTAATTACCTGGTTTTGCTATTGCATTATTATTATAGAAGATGTAACCTTTAGATGATGAAACTAGGTGAGGGGTCCAGGAGACCTTTCTGTACTCTATAACTTTCTGTGAATCCTCAATTATTTCAGGAAAAAAAAAAAAGGTTTTTGAAAGGGAGGGTGGGTGTATTATATGGTGTGTAGGTGAGTTAGAAGTAATACAAGACCAACAAAAAGTGCTGAAGGGAAGCTACTACCCACGGTAGAAGTAAGAATGTTGTGTGTGATGTTATAGGAAAGAGAAATCTGCCTTTCTGGGGTTGGCCCAGCTCCTTGGGAAACGTTGCCTGGCATTCATTCTCCTGACATGAAATGGGAAAAGAACAGGGAAATTTTGTTTACCTATGAGCTTATAAACAAAACAAACTCCTGCGCCATTGCCTTAGATATGCAGGAAAGTTCCATTAAAAAAAAAAAAAAAAAAAAAAAAAAAAAAAAAAGCCTTACATGAGAAGAGAGTTACAACTGCTTTCTTGAATGTTTTTTACTTACCTTCATGAAGTTGAAAAGACCATTCAAGAACAACACTGGAAATACACCTGGCTCATCAGTTCACCATTCTGTTTATTACACACATGTTCCATAAGGTTGTACCTTTTATTTTGTTTGGAAATCAACCCACTTTGATCCCGGGTCTGTGGTTCAGCAACCTGATGAGCATTTTGTCTGCTGTTTCTTAAACAACCGTAGGTGATCAGGAGAAGGGCCAGTCTCACTCACTGATCCCTGAATCTTGGTGGTTAGCAGGATGTTTGGGATAGCATTTGAAACAGGAGTTCATTACAAAGTAGTGCAAGTTCCTCGCTTTCATCACGTGTACAGCGGAGAAAACCACCCAGATCCATTTATAAGTTGCTGCAAAACACCGTCCAGACATAATTTCATTTGTGCTTTAGCAAGAAAATGATGGATCTGTGCTATTCCACATGCCTTTGGGAATCCCTCACTGGGTTTGGTTGGGAGGCGGGCCTTGAGAGTTAGTCTCCCCTTTGTGGCGGAGACACCGCTGGCCCTGTGCTCTCCCTGTGCAGTCTCCCAGGCTGTGCCAGGGAAGGCCACAACATCGGAGAGCGGCCCCATTTTCCACAGGAGCCACCAGCGAATGTGTCCTTTCTTCCAGGCTGTTTTCTCCCACATGGAACCAGCTGGCTCCCCAGCCGATAGGATGCCTTAAGGGTGCACCACATACTTTGTCTGGAAACAAGAGGCATGCTTTTCCTTTGTAGGCACTTTCTCCTTTTGGTTGCAACTTGAGTGGCTTATCCTGGGTGGCTTAGGGATGAGATGTGGCGTGCTCACTTACGTGCTTCAGAACCGTTGCATTTTGTAACATGTGCCGCAAAAACAACCAGAATAAAAGCGTACCTTCGTGATTTTTTTTTTTTTTTTTTTTTTTTAATGCACGGAGCCTGACTCAGTTCTCTTGGTTGATTCTTTATCTTCAACAGCATGTACTGTATCCCTTGTGAAGGTCCTTGCCCCAAGGTCTGCGAGGAGGAGAAGAAAACAAAGACCATTGATTCTGTTACCTCTGCTCAAATGCTCCAAGGATGCACCATCTTCAAGGGCAATCTGCTCATTAATATCCGCCGAGGCAGTAAGTATTCCATCGCCCCGGAAGAGATGGCTGGATCCCTTGGTTTCCTTTTGTTGCTGTCTTTCCTTCCCATCCGTGCCTCACAACTGCAGTACGGGCCTAGAAAAACAACATGGTGTATAAGCCTCATGCCCAACACCTGTTTTTTGAGTTTCCCTTCATGATAAAAAAACAGATTGAAAGGCAGTCTGTTTTTTAGCCGTGGGCTCAGTGTCGATTCACGCTGTGGGTCGCCACTCGTCTTTCTGTTAGTCCCATCGCCCCTGCAGGAGATGCAGGTCCCAACACACACAAGCCCCAGAAGAGGCTGGTAGACCAAAGGTATGACTCTGCAGCCTGCAGCTGGAGTGATATCACGTGGCTCCAAGTCCAAAGAGTTTTGGTTACTTGAATGTATTGAGGAGACTGAGCAAAGAGAAGAGTTTAATGATACCACTTTGAAATTTTATTGAGTCCAAAGAGTGGTTAATCTCCTAATTTACTTTGGAGAGCCGGAAAAAAAAAAAATACAAGTGTGTGTCATCAAAGCTTCAATCTTCACCCCTGTAAGATTGCCATCATTTGGAGTAGATGGCATTCCTGGTAATTGCATGTGTGCAGAAGCATTACTCATGGACTTATTCTGTGATATTTTCGTTTCTGATCTTCAGCTGACAATGGCTTCTAGCCTTAAATTCTCCATCACTGGGACCACTAGGTCAAGGTACTGATGATCGTTGCCTACACTAGAATAAAAGTAGTAAGAACACCTCGAGGTTCCCTAAATCGTTTTGGGGAGAAATCTTTACAGATGGAGGAAAAAAAAAAAGACTTATTTATTCTGTGAATTTACTTGTCCTTAATACTGTGTGTTCGGTGAGTGAGCAGAGCTCTTATGGTTTCTAGTTGGCAGAGACATGTTTATGCTTAGTCCATTTGGAGTTTTTGAAACCCCTGATTTTTCATAACACTTTTGACACAACCACCACAGAGATAGCTTGGCATCTCTGGCTAGAATCTTCTTACCCTTAAGGTGCTTCTAAAGCTTTATTCCTTTGGCTCTTACTAGATTTCTTAATTTTTGAAAAGATGTCCTTATCCCTAGAATATACCCTTTAAGTACCAAACCTTCTTCTTCTTTTTTTTTTTTTTAAATGTTCATATCAGGCATGCATCCTGCCCCACATTTAAAATTCAGGATCTTTTCCTTGAAATATCAACTGCAGGCAACTTCCTGTGTTTATAACAAGATTACAGGAAATACACCATTGATATATTATGTTGTTTTCACATAGGTAGTAGTAGCAGCTCTTTCTCCAACTATTCTCTCGTTATGAAAAATCATACGTGTGCATTATAAAAACCCTCAGAAAAAAATCGTGTGTGTTATAAAAAACCCTCAGAAAAAAAAAATCATGTGTGCGTAATAAACACATTCAGAAAAAAATCATATGTGTACATTATTAAAAACACTTAGAGAAAAGTCATGTGTGCGTTATAAAAACGCTCAGAAAAAAATCATATGTGCATTATAAAAAACACTTAGAGAAAAATCATATGTGTGCATTATAAAAACAGAAGCACAGAAACGAATTTTTAAACATCACCAGCAGATAACCATCATTAACATTTTGGTGTGTTTTCTTCCAATCTTAGTAAGATGGACCCTTTAAATATAGATCCCTGTATCTTAGGAACTAGAAATGCAGCAAAGGCAGCTCCTAATGAGACCGAGAAAACGTTGTTTATTTAGTCATGCCCTTGTACTGTGGAGGCAGCACTGTCTGTTGACAGAGCGTATTAAAAGACATTCCCCAGATTTGTCAGCCTTCGCTAATTGGCAGTCTGGTATTTATGATTTTACATTCTGTTAATCAGCCCGGGAGCTATGGTACCCAGCCTTCTAGAGAGTCTCCTTCCCCTGACTCTGTGGGGCCCTGTCCCAGGAGAGGTTGTTCAAAGTCAAGCCCAGGGAAGTACGTTTTTGACAGGGATGGCAAGTTCCTGCACCAGCGGCCTGAGCCTCTCAGTGGCACCACGACCTGCCACGGAACCGTTCTCCAAACACGTTTGTGGGAAGCCGAGTGTGGCATCCTCATGCTTCGCGAACGCTCGCTAACGCGGCCCCCCTCTTCGTGCAGATAACATTGCCTCGGAGCTGGAGAACTTCATGGGACTCATCGAGGTGGTGACAGGCTATGTGAAGATCCGCCATTCCCACGCCTTGGTCTCCTTGTCCTTCCTCAAAAACCTTCGCCAGATCTTAGGAGAGGAGCAGCTGGAGGGGTAAGTGCTCCGAATGTCATGAGCCGACATCCTCCTTTTACAAAAGAAGCAGCGTGCTTTTAAGACTCTGTGTTACTAAGGTGAGGGCCCTTTCTTGTTAGGAGGAAGCGAAGGTATTGCGGGTCCGACGCTACCTGCGAGATGGCCCATGTCCTCAGGTGGGGTCTCACAGACGCATGACTCCGTCCGCGGGACGTTGCTGTTTTGGAAAAGTGTGTTGTGATCCGTTGATCACGGGCTGCACGTCTACAAGACAGGGATGCTGGTGGGGACCCTCTGTGCCAAAAGCAATAGAAATAGGTCTAAGGTGCTTACTCATCATTTACATGACTCTACCTACATGTAGAGTAAATGTACCTAAATGTAGAGTAAATGACTCTACATTTACTACCTCAGGATGCTACACACTGTGGAAAACCATTCTGTTTTTTGTTTTTTTTTTCAATGTTTATTTATTTTTGGGACAGAGAGAGACAGAGCATGAACCGGGGAGGGGCAGAGAGAGAGGGAGACACAGAATCAGAAACAGGCTCCAGGCTCTGAGCCATCAGCCCAGAGCCTGACGCGGGTCTCGAACTCACGGACCGCAAGATCGTGACCTGGCTGAAGTCGGACGCTTAACCGACTGCGCCACCCAGGCGCCCCCCATTCTGTCTTTTAAAATACAGTTGACCCTTGCTTTGAACAATGTGGTTTGAATCATGCGGGTCCCCTTATACACAGTTTTGTTTGGATAAATACAGTGCAGTACTGTAAATGTTATTTTCCTTATAATTTTTTAACTAACATCTTCCCCAGCTGACTCTGGTATAGGGGCACAGTATATAACACATATGATATATGAAATATGTGTTAATCAATTGTTGATAGGACGACTTCTGGTCAACAGTAGACTGTTAGTAGATAGGTGTGGGGAATGTCAAAAATTACGTGTGCGTTGGTGGCTATGCAGAGTGCAGCACCCTAACTCCCACGTTTTTCACGGATAAACTGTATACGGGAACGTAAGCGATCTGGAGGAGTCTGGATAGTTCATTTTGTTACACAGAAATCATGAGTCACAAAATTGTTTTATCAATTAGCCTACAGGATTTACGCTACTGGTAGAATTTTTTGCCTTCTGCAGAAGTATGCTTTGTGATCGGGGCTTTTAAACTAGCTGGAGGCTTTTCGCTACCAGGTAAACAAGAGTTGATGTTTCTTGCTACGGTTTCTTTCTAGAAGTTAGCCTGCGTGTACCTCTGCACACATACCTTTGTCTTCATACTCCCTTTCAATACAACTCTTGCCTGGCTGTAAGCTTTGCAACAAAAGGAGACATTCATTAAAGAGCGAATTCCTTCCAAAGAGAATTTGGGGAAATCATTTAGGAAAGAAAGAGGTGGGAAGGTCATGGGAAAGGTTGTCCTTGCTGATTTATCTGCCCCGACTGGATAGAGTTACCCCATAAGGGTTTCTTTATAGCCTCCCTGCTTTTCTCAGACTAACTCTTGGTCAGTCTTAAATTCTTAAAATTCCATCATCTGATACGCTAAAGAGAGAGGGCAGCCCTTCATTCCATCCTGGAAAAGCACACTGTCCTCCCCACTGGGAACACTGATTCTCGAGGAAAAAAAAAAACTTTCTTTCTCCCCACAAATCCAAGAAGGCTGCCACTGTGCCCCACAGTGTCCCAAGTCACTTGTACATCAAGCTGGGGCTCTGCCCTTTTGGGGTGCTGGCTACTTTTTGTTACATGAAATCTTAGAGTGAAGGTTAGCACAGCTCTTTTTCTCTCCAGGTTTGTGTTTCTGGGATCCCTCGTGTTGGTAAGCACTTTTCCTTTGGCAGGTCGGTATCAGCAACTTTTCCTGCTGCTTAAAGATACACATTCCTCCCCTCCCCCAGGCTGAACAAGTGATATACATAGAGATGAAAGCTGGGAGGAGAGTGTAATTTTTATTAGGGATGGTTATACGAGGGGATTACCTTTCAGTCGTGTGGCCACTGAAAAGTATGATGCCCTTAAAGGCAGCTGAGAACTAAGACTGATTTTTATTTGTAGGGATGTAGATGACACATTTCTGACTGCCTGAAGTTTGTATAGAACCTGAAGTCCCGGTGGGGGCTCTTTAAAGGATGCCTGTCATTGCTCAGGTGTTTGGGACTCCTCCAGGCTCCAGGATGCTTCAGGCCCCTGCCTGCTATTAACGTTTTCGGTGACAAGGGAGGGCAGATGGGGCTGTGAGTTTTCACATCCCACTGCTGATCAGTGGCCCTTGTAAGCTCCGAGGATGCTGGGCTTCCAGCCTTTAATTCCTATGTGCTGCTTCTTGGAGTCTGTCTGTCTGTCTCTTTCCCTCTTTCTCTCTCTCTCTCTAAACTAGAGAGACTACTACTTTAGAGAGAGAGAGAGAGAGAGAGAGAGAGAGAAACCATGAGCAGGGAGGAAGAGAGAGAGAATCTTAAGCATACTCCTTTCTCAGCTCAGAGCCTGAGGCAGGGCTCGATCCCACAACCCCGGAACCCTGAACCAAAAATGAACAGTTGGGTGCTTAACTGACGTAGCCACCCAGGCGCTCCTTGGGGGTTCTCTCTTTAGCTGGGGTGCTTGAGACTCTTGCCTGTCTTGGTGGGAGTTGCGTTCTCTCATGGGCCTTCCCCACCCATGACCAAAAAAGGTTTAGGTCATCGTCACTTGTGATGAACGCTCCTAACAGCTCTTTGCACCAGGTGTGCCCACCAGCAACAACTCAATTCTTTGTTTTGCATCCTGAAACTTAGGAAGAGCATTCGTTCCAGCCCTTCACCAGCTCTCCCCACCCCTGCAAGGAGGGAAGAGTCAGAGAGAGGCAAAGAAGAAAGGAATATGATAAAAATAAATACCAACAACAGTGCAGAAGCAGAACTTGCAAGGTGCTCCCAGGGAAGGGAAAGGAATGTGCCACGGGCATGAGAAAAAGGCAGATAATCTGATTACAAAGATCCCAGGGTGGCATTTGACATGGGCCTCGAAGTGTTTCCAGAAACACTCAGAAAGCAGAAGGTGAAGAGGGCAGTTCAGGATAGGGCAGCAACCGCAAAGGCGGCGAGTTGGGGCATCCTGGGACCTGTTTGGCAAATAATGCTGGAGAGGTAGGTGGTATTAGAATTACGTAAGGTGTTATGCACCCAGGCGTGGAGGTTATAATTTAGGTAAACGATGGAATGTATTCTTTTGAGCCCGAGGAGAGTTAGCAGAGCGGCCTGGACATTTCGTTTCTGTGCGCCTTTGGTTTAAGCCAAGATAATTTTTATCCCAGTGCTTTCCCAACTTTGCGACACGTTAGAATCCTCTTGGGTGGGGACAGGTAAAAGAAAAATCCCAGTAGCCCAAGTGGCACTCCCAGTGTGGTCAGGATGTTTGGGGGTGGGATCCAGGCGCCAATGATTTTCTTAAGAATCCAAGGTGATTTCGCTGTGTAGCCACAATTGGATACCATTGCTGTGTCCTGTCATTTCTTCTCCTCAACATGTGCCTCCTCAAAGCACTTTGCCTCTTTTCCTAAATATTTTCTTGTCACACTACTGCCTTAAAGGACATTTTTCTTGAACTTCTGTAGCTGACAAGAACACTAATAAGTGCCACCATTTGGCTCAATGGAAGTTTCATAGCATTTTGTTTGGATGGAGAGCAGACAAATCCATAGCGCAGGGATCCTTCTATCTGAAGACCTTGGCTTTCCAGACTGGAACTGAGATCTACCTCCAAGTCCCTTGCGCAACCCAGACCACTGAGTCAAGCGCAGAACATGAAGCTCAAGCATTTTACCTGGAGTGGAGCTCGAGTCTGTATTCCAAGCGAGCCGATTTTGTAATCTGATTTCCAGGGCGGCGAAAGTTGTGGGCAGAATCACATCTGAACAGGCAGTAAGGTACTTGGTGGCTGGAAGAACAGGGCCCGACAGCATGAGGCAGTCATCAGTCTGTCCGCAAGCACTCAGACCTCCAGGTTTCCTCGAGGACGTGACTCAGGCTGCTTACTGTGATGTGTTTCTAGACTAATAGCCTTAGACATTAAGAAATCAAGGTTTTTCTGCTACTTAAGAAGGAAATGGGTCATGTAATACACACGTATAAGATTTATATAAAATGACTAATTGTTAAGCCCTGGAATAGAAAACAGAATATTTCTGCTATCTTGACAGTTCCTTCATTTGGACACCCTTATTTTTTTATGGCATCAGACAAATGAAGAGTTAGAATTTCAGATTCTTTGGTGCCCAAGGATTGTTGCTCCAAAAAGCATAAAAGCAGATGCAGGTAGCAGGGGATATAAGAATTGAAAACCTTGGGTGCCTTCAGGCATCTCTGTGCTCACTATCCGACCACTTGACTTTGCAAAACTTGGCGCTTCATCCTGCCTTCCTGCAACTCTCAGATTAGGCTGCAACAGGGCTGTGGGGACTTTTAAAAATAAAGACTCAACCATGTGACTCAGCAATTCCAGGCTCTACCCAGTATCTTCCCAAGAGAAATGAAAACGTGCCCACACAAGACCTGAATGTGAATGTTCCTAACAGGATTATTCATGATAGCCCACCCCCCACCTCAAAAAAACAAAAACAAAAACAAAAAAAACACTGGAAACAGTCCACATGTCCATCAAGAGATGAGTGGATAAACTGACTGTGGCACAATGGAATACTATTCAACAATAATATAACAACATGGGTAACCCTCAGAAACATTGAGCTAAGTGGGAAAAAAGCCAGACACAAAAGGCTGCACATTACGTGATTCCATTAGTTTCTACAAAAAGCAAAACTGTGGAGACGGCAAGCAGATTGGTGAAGGCTGGGGGTAGGGGCAGAGACTGACCAGCGTTGGCAGGGAGGGAACTTTGACATCGTGGAAATATTCCGAAACTGCATTGTGGTGGTGGTTGGACAGCTGTATAAATTTATGAAGCTCACAGCTCTGTACACTTATGATGGGTACAATTTTTGGTAGGTAAATTCTATCTCAGTAAAGCTATTTAGAAAACAATCAAAGGGGAAACATGTTCTGAGTTTCTGTCTGGTGCCTAGTGGCACTTGAATATAAACGCCCGCCCTTGCTGAGCCCCCAAGGTTGGTGCAAATACCGGATTTGGGGGAGATTGGATGTGGTATAAAGCCGCATCTGTGAAAAGGCCAAATCCTGTATCTGTTGCAGATTGCTAGGATGCTGGAGATGGTCCTTGTGTGCTGGATTCTGATGCCCCCTAGAGACAGCCGGAAAGATTCTATGGTTTTTCCGAGAAATGAAAGGGAATGATCAGCTGTGTATTTGCAGATTTTTTTTTTTTCAATTTGTCAGTAAGGGCTGAAAGGCAGGAATATCCCTTCCACCCCCGTAGTTTGAACTCCTAGCCCTCAATCCCCTTTTTCCCCAGCCTGGGAGAAGCCAAATAAGACACTGCCTAGAGTTGTTGCTTAGTGAGCGGTGGAGATGATGCTCAGACCCTGATGTTTGGATTCTCCAATGCAGTGCTCTAAACACTGGCCCTGGAGCTGTCTTCTGTGCACCAGGCAGATTCCCAGCCCTTTCGCTTTCCTTTGCTTCCACATCCTTCCTGCCCTTCATCAGAGCAGGTGGGGAGGTGGTCGTTATTGGTTACTCAAGGAAGATAGCCCCAAGACTGGAGCCATGAATAAAACACCTGAGTGTCTAGTATATACTAGGTATTTAGAATATATCAATACAGTTAGGGGCGCCTGGGTGGCTCAGTTGGTTGAGTGTCCGACTTCGGCTTAGGTCATGATCTCACAGTCCGTGGGTTCGAGCCCCACGTTGGGCTCTGTGCTGACAGGTTGGAGCCTGGAGCCTGCTTCAGATTCCGTGCCTCCCTCTCTCTCTGCCCCTCCCCTGCTCGTTCTCTCTCTCTCTCTCTCTCTCAAAAATAAACATTACAAAAGAATATAAATCAATACAGATAATATACAGGTATCCTCAAGGAAATGATGGATTGCTTGCAACCCACCTGAATTGGTCTACATTTTGTCTGATGGGGCCCACCCAAGTACAGAAACAAACGTCTTTTGCCACACAAGGAGGGCTGGGAGTCAGGATATCAATACCTATAAAACCCGGCATCTGTGTGAGCTACAGAAAAATAAACAACTTAATTTTTTTTTATATATTCTATGAATGTAAAGGCAGTAAGCTTAGAAACAATTAGGAAATCACATTGATTAATTGACGTATATAGCCATTTCCTTTAGGAAACAATGAAAATCTGTGAGTGTGTGTGTGCCTGTGTGTATAAATGTGCAGGCAAGTCTCTCTGCCTTGTACCGTCTCTCAATTGTCACCTAATCATGGGAGGGAAGTTTGGGGCGGAGCCAGGCCCCAACCTGGGGTTGGAGAAACAAGAACACTATTGACAGGCAGCTCCTGATGGCTTGGTTATTATTTTGACGAGGGTTTTATTTTTGCTTCTTCTGTCGCTCACACAGGCTCCATAACGCCTGGGTTTTATTGATATTGGTATCCTGGCCCCAGGCCTTCTCAGTGTTGTAAAAATGTTTGTGTTTACTGTAAAAAGATAATCTTGCTTTTCAAAGTGATTAATCACATACACAGAATTTCAGTGTGCCTGCCACTCATTTGTCAAGTTCCTGATTTATAATTCATGCTTCCTCCATGGGGAGAGGCATGTTTTGTTCAGAAGGTATTTTCCGTGTGGTTCTGTTCCCTGCCAGTGAAATCCGTTTACTAAAAGGAAGCCTCACCCCGAGTTGAGACAGGAGCTTGACCTGGTTAATTGGCCTGCACTCCCAGCCTAGAGGTTTCTGCACCAACCAGATCTTGTCCCCTGGGACCAAGACAGGAACCTGGGAGCCGCCAGACCCTTTGGGGTTTGGTGTCGGCACTGCAGAGTGTCCTTCAGAGCAGGAAGTAACCGTGGGCAAGAATGGGAGAATAGGAGGCATCTGTTTCCACCTGCAAACCCCTCTGTCAGTTGTATGCATGCATCACCCTGCTTTCTGCAGCCTGGCAGTGCGGGGTGGGGGGAGGGTGGCCACCGGCCCAAGGGATGGCCCGTCTCACCTTGCCACGTCCCAGCACTCCCCACCTGTACACATGGCCTTGCGTTGCGTATCCCGAGTCTCGATTCATTTGGACCACATCTCATGTTCCCTTTTCAGTGGATATACGTGTTAGGGAGTGAGCTCTTCCCGAAAGGAAAGTATTACTGCCTCGCAAGTTTTGGCCACCTGGTTTGGTGGCCATGAATGTGTCAGGGGACCTCAGGGTGGGTTAGTGAGGAGCCTGGCTTGGTTTGAGAGGTGCTGCCTTTGGACTTACTTGGCCCACTGGACCCTGTGTGGGCAGGACTCCCACCACCACCACCCCTGCACGTGTGTGGACGGATAGCGCCCAGTGCTTGTCCGGGGGCTGGGCTCAGGCGGGTGGGGCAGATTCCAGCTCAGCGTTGTGACTTCTCCCGGGCATTAGGGTCTTGGACTCCTAAAACCAACAGGGAGCTCAGATGTTCATACCCCTTGTTGTCCTGTGTGTTCATACCCTCCTAGTCCTATGAGTGAACCAGACTGGTGGCTACAGAAAGTTCTAAGTGAACTGCCCATGGCTACGTGGCTCATTCATGGCATTTGTAGTCCTGAACCCCTGTCTTCGAACTCCCTTGTGAATTCCCATGAATGCATCACAATTCTGCTTGGCAGCATTTTAACCATAAGTTTTGCTTTCTTAATGAATGAGACTCAGGCTGGGGATTCACGAGGCGGGTGGAAGTCCTGGTCTGAGTATACATGAAGAACCTCACCAGGTGCAGAGAGGGGCCCATGGACACAGCCTCTAGGGCAGAAGAGGGCTTTACACTTCTGTCTGGCTCTCTTGGCCCTGGAAGGGGGGCTGGATCCTTTCTTCCCAGCAGTTTGTGTCCTGGATCCTTAAGTGGATCTTAGAAATAGCTCAAAATGCTGTACCAATTCCGTTTTGTATAAAGTGCTCGAGTGAGCCCCGGATAGAGCCTGGTCCCCAGACCAGGAGGGGGAGAAGACAGGTTCGAGGTCCATGTGGAGCTGACCTTTCAGCCCAGAGGACTTGGATGGGCAGCAAGGTCCTGCCTGCCTGGTTTCCCCAGGGACCCGGAGAAAGGGGCGTCATTGCGTGGATCTTTCTCCAGACCCCTAAGCTGTAGCTGTCTGCTCTCCCACCTCCCGGAGCATGGATTTCTCTCTGGGTAGCCAGAGCTGTTGCTGATTCCACCGTCCTCCCATCTTCCCTTCAATCGACAGGTGGAGCCGCTGCTTCTGTGTCCGCCCATAACTCACTTGGTCAGCTCTGGACCTCCAGCCCCTTGTCAGTGCCCAGCACCTGTTAGACCAGTGCTTCTTCCGGTGCGATCCCGGCACCTGAAGGTATCAGCACCACTGAGGTGCAGGGTGCAGGTTAGCAATGCAGATTCTTGGCCCACATAGACCTACTAATGAGAAACTCTGGGAATGGAGCCCAGCACTTGGAAAACAAGCCTTGTGCACACTAGCCTTGTGTTGGATACTGAGTCACTGTTGCCTGGATGATGTGGCCCAGAGGGACTGCCCTTAGCGGGGGTGGTTTCTCTTTCCCCACCTTCTCCAAGGCGGGTGGTGAGGCTTTTCAAGATGGGGTGAATCTGGAGGAGGGAGCAGGCCCAGGGCTGGTCCACCACTGAGTCTGGCTCCCTGTCCCCATTCTGCCTCCTGCCCCATCAGACACCGCTGATGGCACGGGTGGGATTTACCCCCAAGGATGATGGCAGACTTTCTACAGCAAATATGTAAGCTGTTCCGGTTGAGTAGCCGAGCGTGTCTGTTCTCCCGTGGACTGACTTCAAGTGCATTATACATACTCTGCTCTGAGAGAAATACCCAAAGGCATTTCTGTGGAATGATTCCAGCAACACCCTCTGGTACGCGAGGCATCATTTTGTTGGTAATAGAGGTCCTAAAATTAATTCGTGTCTTCCCGATTCCAGTACGCTGTCCTGCAATCAGATGGTTGCTGTTGTGAACAGGAACTGTCCACGCTTCCCCACTATTAATGACTAAATCTCTCACTGGCAAAGGCAGCGTGTTCCGGAGCCACGTGTGGAGGAGGGCCCGTGTGGTGCGGCCAGTGGGTAGGAGGGGACACTGGGCAAGGGCCAGAGAGCTCACGGTGGTTTCTGTGCTTCCAGGAACTACTCTTTCTATGTCCTCGACAACCAGAACCTGCAGCAGCTCTGGGACTGGGGCCACCGCAATCTGACCATCAAAGCTGGGAAGATGTACTTCGCTTTCAACCCCAAGTTGTGCGTCTCCGAAATTTACCGCATGGAGGAGGTGACCGGGACTAAGGGGCGCCAGAGCAAAGGGGACATCAATACGAGGAACAATGGAGAGCGAGCCTCCTGTGAGTGGCCCCTCCTCCTCCGGTCTAGAACAGCGGCTCCGTTTGTGGTCCCCTCCTCGCTTCACTTGGGGGTGGGGGGACACGAGGCCTCCTTAACTAGCACTTTGCTCACACGTGTGTATGTTCAGAGTCGGTAGCAGGGCAGATGCATGACACGTTCATGTTCGTGCTTCTCCCTTAGCATCTAGATGAATGCACTACACATTTATAAATAGGTTCCTACACAGATTTTCCAGAAGTGCTTATAGAATGCAGAGTTAAATGTCCATGTATTTTATGTATATATAATGTATGTATATTATGTGTATATTATATATAATATATATATTATATATATTAAAGAGAGAGAGAGAGAGAGAGAGGGAGAATCCTAAGCAGGCTCCATGTTCAGTGCACAGCCCAATGTGGGGCTTTCCATCCCACGACCCTGCTATCATGACCTGACCCGAAATCAAGAGTTGGAGGCTCAACCAAGCCACCCAGGTGTCCCAATTTAAATGTCTTTTAATGCATAGGCATATGGTCGGATTATTTGTCACAGAGGAGCTAGTTCCCTCCAGGGAGTGAGCTCAGCTCCACTGCCCACAGCATAGGAGAAGCCTGAGGGCAGAGGGGGCTAAGCCCCAAGCCCAGCGCATGGCCCTGGGGTCTCTGTCTCTCACTTGGCCTCCTCCTCACTCACACCCCAACACGAGAAAGGTGGAGAGAGTCTGTAGACTCCCTGAATTGACACTGCTTTCTTAAATTTAGAAGAGTGTAATTATAACCTTGCAATGGTTACATGACTTTTACCTTTAAGGTCCCGTATCTGAGCTGTAGCAGTACACATCTCTCAGCTAACCCTGTATGTAAAGCGGCTTTTGAAAATGTGGTTCTGTTCAGGTGGATAGAGTTCTAAAAGTAAATTGTCTCTCTGTCCTCGGCCTTTAATAAGGGAAGGGTCTTAGAAAAAAAAAAAAGAGAGTGATTTATAGGATCAAAGATGTGCACACGCACGTGCACACACGGCACACGCAGGTTCGAGAAACTATTAGCATTTGATGAGTTTTGCTGGCATCTGGATTTACCCGGTAGATACTCAAACTACCCAGGAAGGGTTTTTGGAGGGAAGAAGCCTGATGCAAGGCTGGATGGCGTGTTTGCAACCAGCGCCTTGTCCTTGACATGCCCACACAGCCCCTGCCGGACTCCCTGTTCGAACCATGGCAGGGCGGCTGTGTCTGAACATTTTCAGAGTGTGTTCTCCTCCAACTCAGCCGGTCTGCCCTATCAGATTGTGACTACAGTAGCCGTTTCTTTCCCATTGAAAACAAAATCATGTTTTCTCTTTAAATAACCCTCAAGCGGAAACTGCAGTGTTTTTCTAATCTCACATCAGCACATTTTGCCCCCCGACTTTTTAGTATTAACTGCCTTCAGCCTGCGCTTCACCTACTGAGTACGTCAGGATTCAGGCAAATAGAGGCAGAAAAGGACAGTCTGTAGGGCTCCGAGTCTCCCTGAGGAGAGGCGGTCAGCAGCTCTTCCCTGGTCCTCGTGGTCCTTTGAATCTGGCCAGAGGAACAAGACAGGGGCTCAGAGCTGGGTCCCTGCCATACCTCCCCAGCAGCGTCCCACGGAGCACAGGGGGCTTTGCCAGGTGACACTGTTCTTGTCAGTGCTTACTTCATTCCCGGTGGTATGTCAGCCCCAGCTGGAGCCTCCGGGAAGCTTCCGTGTCCTTCCAGGCCGATACCACGTTTAGACTGAAAGTGCCCCACTGTGGCACACCTGGTCTGTTAGCCCGTCTCTGCTGATTGAGCAGGAACAGGCGGAGACCCTGAACACTACAGAGCAGGTGCCCTCCTATCGCAGAAGATTCAGCCAGCTTACAGGGCTCACCTTCCCCGGCCCCCTTGGCAGCCGCGTCTTAGGGCTCAACAGAAAGGGCAGGTGCCTGGCTGTGTCAAGCAGCCCTTCCCTGTCAGGCTCGGACTCACAGGGCAGGGCCAACGCAGCCAAGTGTGCTAAAACAAAGGACCGAGCTGGTCACAGCTCCGTGTGGGAACACGTCTGGGTGCTTAGTAGAAATAAGAGAGCCACTGAGAAGTCCAGAAAGGGGCTTATTAGCATGCACAGCCAGCCTTGGAGAAGAGGGAAACAGTGCGGGGCAGGTGGCTTGTCAGACACTTGGAGGGAAAGGACGTCCGTCCCTGTCGCTCACAGATCTACCTTTCGCCCCAGGTGAAAGTGACGTCCTGCACTTCACCTCTACGACCACGTGGAAGAACCGCATCATCATAACCTGGCACCGGTACCGGCCCCCTGACTACAGGGACCTCATCAGCTTCACCGTCTACTACAAGGAGGCGTGAGTTTCTGCGTGGGCAGGGCTGTGGGTGGGGAAGCCCGTGCTCCACCCTCCCCACCCTCCCTGGCTGTCACGTGACATCCATCACCGTGGTGACAGCCACAACACTACAGTGTCGGCTTGGGGCCTTTCGTTCTCCGGTGGGTAGTTAGAGGGGTTGGAATAAAATAACTCCAAAGAACAAAGTTTGTTTTTTAGAGGATTAGGCTAGTCCAGACATCCATTAACTGGGGTAGAGGATGTGCCCTCCACGCCATACCCCAGGAGCACCTGCACCGTGCAGGATGCTCAGCTTCCCTGGAGGGGACCCCCAGACCAATCTGTCCTCTTATTCCTGTCCCTCTACCCACGGGCCCTTCCCAAGGCACCGTCCTCTGCTCTAGGTCATGAGCCCTCCAAACTAGGGGTGGAAAAGGGAGAGAGACTGACCTCCATGTTTTGAACCTCTCATGATTTCTCCCAGCATCTGTGGGGGCTTTGTGCCTTCAGGTGACACCTGCCGCAGCAGCCACGACGTCCTCCTCCAGACGGAAGCTCTTGTTGGGTCTCCCTCTTCCTTCCTTTGCCTCTTATCCAAGTGCTTCCCCAGCCTGCTTAGTCACCCTCCTTACCCGGCTACCACTGTGATGCCGTAGGTCTCTTTCCCCAGTGATTGGCTTCCCCGGGGCTGGAACCAGAGCCACCAATGGCAGTATCTGGCCCCCTTTCCCCTGCCGGAGCCAGAGTCCTGGGGAGGGTCATAGCAGTAGAGATAGCAGGTCTCGGGATTATTACGCATTCAGCATATTTACACGTGGGAGTCATTCATGGCCTTCCATTGTGACCACACGGAGGGGTATGTGAGTAAGGTACTTAAGCCGTCCCAACTGTTTGTGAACAAATTTGATTTCCGAAGCTCTATTTTAGATGCGGTTTTTCTGTAGCAAAAGTCCTTTTTCTCCAAAAGTTATTTTTCATCAGTAGCTGATGTTTGCATTAAATGATTACACTTGTTTTTTTTTTAATGGTGAAAAATGCCACAATTGGAAGAGAGAAAAATAGCATTTGCATATATTCTTTTTTTTAAATTTTTTAACATTTTTATTTTTTTTTTAATTTTTTTTTTAATGTT